AATCAAACGCACCCTTAGTTATTTATCACATTCCTTTTTTATCGCGTTGGTGCATATATCCATAATTTTTCAATTTAGTTGCTATTAAAGCCTTATTTACTGAAGAGTATGCTCGTTAATAATTTTATCCAAATAAATAGAAAAACTAATAATTATATCAGGTCAATATACGCTCGTAAGACAGCCTATGCATCATTAAGAAGGTCCGAATTGAGTCATTTGACACATGAGCGTAGGGAAAGGGGGGGCAAGGCCGGGCTTTAGCCCAACCATTCCCCCTCCAAAGCCCACTTAATTTTAATGTAAAAAAACAAAATTTTTCTTTGGAAATTTTTTTTCCTCGTCCTTCCACATGGACATGTCTATCTTATAGTGTAACTTTGAACATAATTTGTCCTAGAGATAAGCTGTGACACTATCATTAAAATGAGAATAATAAAAAGTAAATTGGATAAGGTTCATCGTTCAACACAAAAAATTATGGAAAAATAGAACATGCCCACCCCACCCCACCCCACCCCACCCCATTTAATTTTAATGTAAAAAAAACAAAAATTTTCTTGGGAAATTTTTTTCCTAGTCCCTCCACGTGGACATGTCTATCTTATCGTGTAACTTTGAACGTAATTTGTCCTAGAGATAAATTTGTTACACGAAGTTGGAACACTGTTACGCTATCATCAAAATGAGAATAATAAAAAGTAAATTGGATAAGGTTCATCGTTAACACAAAAAATAATGGAAAATTAGAACTTGACAATCTATGGTCCCCTAAGAAAGCTCTGCCAATTATATCATGCCACTTGTCGTTAAAGGACAAGGGAACCTACTTTTGTTTGAAAATTGATGATTATGGGGAGAAACCCTGCTTTTTATAAAGACTGATTGATCTGATAAGGTAAGAAGATAGACATTGAATTCAAGAATATGATTGCTGCCCATGAGCCCCCCGTATATTTCAATTTTTCGCAATCAAGTCCTTGGAATTGCAGTTTCTTGCCACTTTTTCCTCAATATATTTAGCCCTTGTTTGATTTAGATAAGAATCAATTTTTTAGTAAAATTTGATAAAATATATAGTTGAAGATTTGTGAATCTCATAAAATATGTGGTTAAAAGACTTAGATTTTAATTAAAAATCTTAGTTGAACCAAACAAGTGTTTCCTGAATAATATGTTGATCATTTGAATAATTTTAGTCACTGTTTGTTGTACCTTAAAAAACTAATAAAAGTATAAGTCAAATTTAATAATTAATTTTAATCGCATATTTTTACGAGATTTACAACTTTTTAACTACGCATTTTAATAATTTTTTTTTTATCAAAATATACTTAAAA